TAGTAATAATAATAATCATAATAATACTGACTGTAGTCGTAGCAGTGCGATCAGCAAGACTAGCAGTACTCGGAATTCAAGCGGTCGTAGTAGCAGCGGCTGATAGCAGAAGTGGTAGCGGGGGTCAGACACCGGCCTCTGGGGGCGTGGGGTAGATGTTAGGCATTAGGTCTCGAACCCATGCAGCTACTTCAGCCGAGATGTGCAACAGACAATTGGGGAGTGCATGCTTCGTAATTATGAGCTTAGATACAGGCTTGCAGGATCTGAAGCTGTTCCTCTGAGCCACCATATCGGCAATGCCCACCAGGCATAGTTCCTACGAGGCCATCCTGAAGCATCATCTCTTGGCGCAGGCTCGGCTTGATTCTATATTAGGGTTTCGGGTTTAGGGCTTATATGCTTTAAGTCCATATCAACCAATCCGTGCTGGATTGAACATGAGCTCGGTGGACCTTTGGATCCATCTACTTGTCGGCCTACCCGCCTTTTTGACCAGTCCACCGATTATTCCGGTGCATCCCCGTATTCTTGAACGTACTTCGCGAAGTGTTTGACAATATGGCCCCAAAGCCCCAGAACCCTCTACCCTGAAGTACCACACTCAACGACCCTGAGTCCGAATATGTAAACCATATAAACCCTCCCGGACAAGTGCAAATCGAACCGCAGTGCTCCAATAAAACCTTTGCAGGCATGTAGGAAAGAGCCCCCAGTGATCCGACTAGGGGGGTTCTGGCATACTTTGAGGAGCTGCAAGGGGCTTTATTGCTAAGTTTTCGGATTCCCTTTGCACAGTATCCCCCACCCCCCAGGATGGATGTTACCAAGCAACACCTGGCAGGCCCCGGCTGGAGAGAAGCCGCTGCCGGACACTGGCCGTGATATGCTTAGGGTTTCCCAGCAAAGGGACTTGAAGAATTCGGAATACGGGCTTGAACAATGAGGTCACAGACCCCTGACAGTCACAGGTTGTATACACTGTAGTATACCCAAAAGCCCTATGTCAAATTGCTTTGGCTCCTGTCTTGCCATCACCTTGTCTTTCTTGATTCATGCCACCATCAGCTTTTCTTCTTTGCGCACGGAGCCTTATGGTCTTCAAACAAGGAGTTCACTGTAAATATTGTTTCTTAACAGTTAGATATATGAAGAGTCTTCGATTCAGAGGCCGCCCAAACATACTGTGTTGTTGGATTCAGGGATGTTGGATTTAGAATTCCCTCCAGGGTTTAGGGCTGGGGGCTGAGTCTTTACTTGTTTATTTTGGTGTAGACCTGGCCGTTTGCGGACTCTGACTCTACAAACGACAGCAGCTTATATATAGTAGGTGATTATATTATATTTACGTTGTAATGTTCGCCCGGACACAGTTAGCCTCGCGTGCCTTGTGAAACCCTCTGAGGCCTCATACGATGGCACCGACACCCTGACACTCCTGCAGAAGGCCATGGCAGCAGCTTCGACGTATCGAAACGGGACTGGCAGGACCTCCCCTTCAAACATGAAGCCGTGAAGACTTCAATGCCCCATGAGGTCTTGAGGCGGTTGTTCCGCGTTTAGTCGGCTTTGGGTTCGACCCCTGCTGACACAGCTGCATGTGCCTGGCGTCGCAGGCATATCTTATGGTTCATTTCACCTTCGTCATCTATGCGCCCGAGATGCAAACAATGCATATGGACGCGAGACTCTGGGGATGGAACCTGGTGGGCTATGCCGAGTCGCTCCCTTACGCAAACAAGGCGCCGGGGAGCTCTCGTTTCCGACGCTTTGGGCTGCTCGGTAGGTTAGGGGGGGAGGGGTCTGAAAATTCGTCCCTTTGATGAGGATCCTGTTGTTTTGGGGCTTGAAGATCGGACCTCCTATTTTCTGAGCTGGCATCCTGCTCTTGCCCTTTCGCGTTCTCTCCGGATCAGGGCAGCCTGGTCCAGTTCCACGACCATGCCGCGCTTTACCAGCACCCGAAGCTGAGCTCTTCATAAGGAGCTGAAATGGAGTATAAGGGGTTACATAAGGAGCACAGAATGAATGCTAGGTCTGCCTTGTCAGGATATGGTAACATCATAATCTGCCCTGGAAGTCCCGTCACCACAACCCAGGAAGAGCCTGGAATGTGCTCTCGTCTTCGAGGGCAGCACCTTGGCCAGACCGTTCCTAGGGACTTAGAAGACCCAACAGTCGAAGCGGAGTTAGCGTTAGGGCTTCATACGGGACTTTCCGACAATTAGGGGTACCTTATTTTGGGGTCCTTATAATAAGGATCCTACTATTTGGGGTACCATATTAAGGTCCCCTATTTTCGGAAACCCCCATATCGGAAGGGGCGGCATGTTGCCTTGATGCCGTGCCGTCGAAGGTGACCGACAGGATCTCAGTGACTGGCTGCTCGGCTTGAGTGATACTGGTAGTAAAAAAATAATGAGACTGATAAAACAATACTGGTAAGAATAAGACTACGAAAAGTTATAATAATATGATAGTATTTCTTTAGTCAGAATCATAGTAATGGTAATGCTTGTCCACGCCTCCACACCCTGCCCTCTCCGCAGCTCCAATCTCCAAATGCAAGCTCGAAACGAGTTCGCTTGTGGTTCTTGAATACCGAGCAGGGTGCATCTTGCCAGGCCAGTGAAGTCTTCGACGCCTGCAATGCATGTTCAGTGGAGGTGTTGCAAAGTCGTGTCAGCCGGAGGCATCCCGCCTTGCCCTGGGCCCAGGGTCTATGATGCTGACATCAAGACTTCCCAGTTCTGTGGCTTCGAAGACGTTCACAGTGGGTTTCGGGACAAGTTGCTGGCTATGCTTCGAAGCCTCTCGCCGGCATGTTTCAGGGCACAGTCCCGTTGTGGCCGCTTCCGCCGCAATTCTTGACGGGAGGTATTTTTATTTTTCACAGGTCCTGGTGTTCCTTGGTGTTGAAAGTGGTAGGAATACCGCAGCATTCCGCATCTAGCTGCTGCTGTTATCGCTGACGTATTGTTGCACCAGTTATTAACTACTAAACCAGCAGCTAGCAGCGGCCCTCACAAAAAGTCTTGTAAAGTAAGGCGATGACTACGGCCAGGACAGGGCTGCTCGCGCTGTTGACGGCTGAGGGCGCATAGCCATAATTACTTTGCATGACACGCTCTGCAGTGTTCTCTCCAACCGGCTTCGCCGCCGGTCGGGTTCTGTCCATGACTATCAGCTAGTAGCGGCTGGATTCCATGGAACTGTGTCGAGTAGCATATGGCTGCTTCCCATCCCCTTGCCAGTTCCTGACAGCAAGTAGTAAGTAGGAGGAGAGTCTCAAATGGTCGTGCAGACTTCGAAAGTCTTCGCTCCTAAACCCGATAAAGCCCTACAACCCTGGTCTTGTCCTTGCTAGGTACGAGGGAAAAACAGCCCTGGCAAAAAGTCCTGAACCACCCTAAACCCTAAGCCCTTGACCCTAACAAGACTCCGGAACGTGGGGCAGGCGATTCGGGCGAAGCTACCCTTTTGTTCTCGAGTCCGCCTCCCAGCTTGCGGAATCCGCTCCGACTGTGCAGCTGATCCGGGGCTTAGGGTTTGAGGATTTCAGTAATTAGCTCAGTGTGTACCCAGAGGCCCCTAAGTAGTTCCTTTTGGGGATTACCTTATAGGATTCTAAAACAAAACAAGCCATAAAAAGGAACTACCTAGGGGCCTATGGGTAGAGGCTATGGATGGTTTGCGCGGTTTAGACAACTGCAGCAGACTCCTCTCCCTTGAAGCGCTGCTTAAGCAGTGAAGTGAACTTGCTCACCCGGCGAATCTTCTTGCCATGACTGTTCAATGTTTGACTCTGCAATCCTGTGTTTTCTGTGCCGCGAAACCCACAAGCCCCACATCTTAAATCCATAACCAAGCCCTAGGCCCTATGTGAGTTTATGAGCTGCACTAGCAAGCGAAATTGACCTGCGTCGATAGACAGATGACATCGGTGCGTGGATAGCCCTTCCACAGCAGCAACCTGCCCAGGGAAGGCAAGTTGCAGTCAAAGCTTCGATCACGTGTGGAGAGCCTTCAACAGACAAGCGAGCAGCAAAGAGCCATGCATACCAGTAGTAAATTCCAGGACATACGCACCTTTGTACATTGCCCAAGACATTGTACGTACGTATAACTTATAACTGTACCTAGATACGGGTTCTGTAAACACATGAGCGGACGCGGATATTTGCCTCCGCATGCCCACCCCTAAGCCCCAAACCCTGACCCCTAAAGCATAGACCCAGTCTCTAAGCCCCAAATCCTGTCCCCTGAACTCTAAACCCAATATAAGTCCCCTAAGCCCTATAGCCTACAATGGGCAGTTGCCTTTTTCATCCCCCAGGTCGCAGCTACTGGTCACTCCATGGGAGGTGCACAGGCCGATCCTTCAGGGTTTAAGCGTTTCGGGTTTTGGGCTTGGGGTTGACGGGTTTAGGGTTTAGGGCTTTAGAGTTTAGTGGGTTGTGGCATGGAGAACGGCTGGTTATGACGGGATTTTGGGGCTGAGGCTTCGATAAGGTCACTTTGCTTTCAGGGTTCTAGAAGGGTTGTGTGAGGTTTGCGGCTTGGTGCGGGTGTCGATTTTGGGTTCAAGGTTTTGGATATGGCACGAATGTATGGCGAGGAAAGGTGCACACAAATCATGCTTGGGTCTTCAGGATTATTCTTCTCCGGGTCCAAGGGTTTAGATGACGGGAACAGAGGCATAATGATCGTCACGCGGTTATGCAGTTTTCCGCAGTTTGACAATGGACTACTATTTAGATGTTGATGAAGCCGCGTGGACTTTCTACTCCTTTAGCCCTCAAGCCCTTTGAGTGCATATGGTGAGAATCCACACCCGAATGCCCTAAAGCAAGTCTAGAGACTGCTGTATCTTGGAGCTGAGCGTCCCATGTTGGGAGCGCTGGAACACCTCTGGTCCCATGTAGCCGAGTCTAGGCTTCGACTAGTTGAGCCGGAAGGTTTAGGGGTTAGGGATTTAGTGAGGGTTTAGGGGTGGGGGTAGTTCCTTTGTGCAAGGCCGACAAGGCGGATCCTTGCTGAATTCGGTCTTTGAGCATGTCTTTCGCAGATGCTTCTCGCCTCTCGCGCAGAGTGTTGCTGTGCCAGTTCTCGGCTTGACGCCAGTCGTCTTTCCCAACATCGGAAGCGGCGATCATGAGCAGCCGTCAACACTACGGACGCTATGTGTGCATGTATGATCGCGCCCGCGTGCAAAAACGGCAGAGGAACCCCGTGTTCCTATACGTGCGCGGCTATCCCTCGTGTCTTCTACCGATGTACGCACATGCCTTTATGTATAGATGGATAAATCTTGACAGCCAGGAGTAAGGATGAGGTTTCGGAGGCAAAGCTGGCTGTTGAACAAGGCTTCTGTTGCATTACAACTGGATGAGGTAACGATGTCTCAGTCGTATCTTCTTGCTGTGTCTTACTGATGATTGAGGGAGCGTCAGTGACGCAGGCGGAGTTGTTTACAGCATGCGCGAACCGGCGGATCCCCAAGCCTTGGCAGACGGCAGGGAGCTTACGGTTTCTTCAGTTGCTGTGCCAAATCAGGGCTTCAGGCTAGGATCTTAGGATTTCTGTGAGGCTTGGGGTGGGTACTGTCACGACAATGTGTCAGAGGAGGAGGTGTGATACGAGTCATGGGCTTTTGAGTGCATGCGGAGAGACACACGCACGCAAGCACACGCACACGCACACGCGCACACGAACGCGCACACACACACACACCCACACGCACACGCGCACGCGCACCCTCACACGCACGCGCGCACACACACACACACGCACGCACGCACACACACACACACACACACACGCCCACACCCACACACACACACACACACGCACGCGCACAAACCCACCCACACACACGCACACACACACACATACATACACACACATCATCATTTACTGAGGTACAGGCTTGCAGACACTCAGGGAAGCAACACTAATCATTTCCAAAAGCCCCATCATACATGTACGTTTGCATGTAGTAGCACATGTATGTACGCATGCATGCAATGCATGCATGTAGGTAGGCAAGTAGGTACTGTAAGTATGTATGTGCGTGCAGTTGCATCTGTGCACAAACATAAGCATGCAAGTCGGTAATGTAAGCATGGTGTTCATTAGCCGTGACAAGACTACCGACGCCAGCACGAGTCGGAATTTTTTTAGGTTCAGGTATGGATGCTTCTATGTAACGAGTCCGGACGAGAGCGGTGGTCATCATCATCATCACCATCACCATCATCATCATGTTTGTCAGCTGAAACAACAATAGCTCCAATGGTGGCAAAGAGTTCGATGCTACTCTGATGATGCAGAGCAATGTTCAGCACTGTGGAACAAGAAACATGACACGACAACGCCTAAACTTAAGCATTGAAGCACCAACAAAGTGCTTGCAACTCCCCTCCCCGAGATGTGAGAGTCGAAACTAAATGCTAGAGAGGCCTTTGTCGCTAAACTCCATAAGCGCTTAAAGGGCGTCCTGAAAGGACGCGCTGTCCGATCACAAGCTGGTTGCCTTCCATTTGACGGGCCCGGAACTCTTGAGACCGTTCCTGACGGAACAGGCCGTTCCGGATTGGGTTAATCTATAGCATAGAGAAGTCTATGTACAGCTCGGGTCATGTCCCTTGTTCAAGCTGAACAAGCCCTCGCCTCAGTAAGCTCTAGGTACATGGGTTTCGAACTTCATGTGCCAAGGAGTTCTGCAGAGCTCTCTCGTGGAGGGCACGCTTCGGGTTGTCTATGTATTGCACTGTATGAAGCGCACGCTCCTCGAGCGACTTTGTAATTCCCGGTGTTGACGTTCTTCAGCTTTGGAGAATGACTCTGAAGCAAAAGGTTCCGCCCGGCTGAAAGGAGGCTTGACGAGATCCGTTCGAGCAGTCAGGACGGGGATTTTTTTCTTTTTGATTCATGCTTGACACGGTACATACATATACTTCCCACGGAGGTAATACTGCATGGTCGGTACAAGCAGGTTTCACGCATCCTGCCAGGTTTGGGTCCTAACCTCTGCCCAGCAAATTCTGGACTTGTTCGCACGACAGATGTGCGGTGGAGCCTCCCTGAAACCGACATGAAGCCTCAGAGAGCCACTATGTGCTGTGGAATGGTAGCTCTTGTATTGTTTACAACCGTAAGTTTTCATAGCCCGACTTCAAGAGGCCGTGACGTTTGAGCCCGCGAGGATGATGCATGATTTCCTGAATCGCGTTTTCACCCCTAAACCTTCAACCTTCAACCTCACCTTCCCTTTAAAGCCTACCTACGCCCCCCCAAACCGCGCGCCGAAACCCTTCCTAAGTTTCATGCCCAGGGCACCCTTGAAGATTCGCTCTCTCTCTCGCCAGGTCCCCGGCGTGGTGCTACGCAATGTAAACAACCGTTGCCTGGGCGTGGAGGGGCCCATGCAGACGGCCCGGGGCAAGGGAAGCGGAGGGAGATTTGAGTTTTGGGGCGTTCTGACAGGCTCTCATGGACAATTCCAAACCTGAAACTGTCCTGATCTTCATACATAGGAATTAGTTTTTGTAGGGTTCCTACAGATTCATTCAGGGTGTATACAGGAATTACGTCGGAATCTAGCCAGCTCGACAACAGCGCCCAAAGCCCACCAGCTCTGAATTAAATCTGGCAGGAAATTACATCTGGCAGGGCTGAATCACAATATATAGGGACTTGAATACATATTGTCTACTATCACCGTATAGTGCCTGTATAAAGATTCACACACACCAAGAATGCCTAACCCCTGAGCTGCAACCAGCAGGTTTAGGACCTGGACTCGCGGCCCCTGTGCCTGAACCCCAGTTTTTGTGGGCTTAAAGATTTGGTTATTCCGGTTTTGGTTGTCGGTATTTCTGCCCTGGTCATTGTTTTTAGTTTTGTTTGCATGTTGTTGCTATAGATTGTATGGGGCTGTGGCTTTAAACCACAACGGCCCCCCAAAAACTGTAACAGTACAAATCCTACAGCCCTGAACCCTTGCACCTCATAGATAGAACCACTTAAGTATTAAGCAAGCCTTTCAAGGAACCCTTTATGATGCCTTCTAGAACTCTCTGAAACCCCTTATAGACCCTGTAGAATGCCCAAACCCTACAGTACCCTTTACCCATAGGCCCCTAAGTAGTTCCTTTTGCATGGTTTATATTTAGAATCCTATTAGGTAATCCCAAAAAAGAACTACTTAGGGACCTATGGGTAAGGAATCGGAAGCCCTTTAAGAACAGCCCTGGAGGCCTCCGGTAGCGCCCTGGCCGCCGAGCGCTGCCACGCCCCCGGCCCGCGCGCGGCGCAGCGCTGGCGGTTGGGAGAGGCCGTGGCCAAACAGGTCTATGATATGGGGGCCTACCTATAGTCTCCCTTGTAGTTCCTTATTCTGGATTAACCAGTTTTATTTTAAGGATCCTAATTGACAGGAAACCCCAAAAAGGAACTACAATGGAGACTATAGGTAAGAAATTTGCCAATACTTTTTTTGGGCGTTCCTTACTATAGTTGTAGTATAACCTACCCCCGAAAACCCTATTCTAACTATTAAGGCCCCTCTAGTATACGGGGCTGTAGGGCCTGTCTCTGAAGGGTTTTCACATCAGCCCTTTCGGAGACTCCATAAGGGGTCAGGATTTAGGGTTTAGACTTAGGGCTTAGCGCGACTTGGGGTTTAGGGTTTGGGGGATTCTAGGCTCGGTGGAGTTTTCAATATTTAGGGTTTAAAGGTTTAGGGCGGTTTAGGGTTTAGGGTGGAGTTTTCAATATTTAGGGCTTGGAGTTCTTGGGGAGTTCAAGTTGGCGACGTTCCAGATTATCAGGCATCCCGGCAAGCCAATGACCCCATGTAGTTCCCTTGTGACTCAAGTGATGTTATGTTAGGATCCAGTAAACCGTTATTGTTGTTATTCTTATTGTTGTTTTTATCATTATTGTTATTACTATTATTGTTACTATTGCTTTTATTATTGTGACGTTTACCACTCGTATGACCAGTATTGTTGGTAGTATTTCATAATGTAATGGAAATACGGTTAGTAATACTTGTAACATGAATTTTGCAACATAGAAAAATGGAGGGTCCACGGCGAGGCAGAGGTTCTTCAGGTCGAAGGGCTTCGGCCCGGCCTTTCCGGCAAGTTTGCTGTTGGGGCTTGAAGAAAGCAGGTTTAGGGTTGATAGGGTCTATAGAACTTAAGGTTTAGGGTTAAACTTAGGGTCTGTCGAGTTTAGGGATTATACTTCGGCTTGCGATAATTTTTGGTACTCGGGCCAGCAGGCCAGCATCAGCGCCGGAGCGTAGTTGTAAATTTTCAACATGAGACTATAGGTTGAACTTCCGATGGGCCGTGTACGGTACCTGGCCACCTGCACTGCGTGCCAGACATGACAGCCAGTTCGCACTTGTAGCTCGTCGTTGGCAATGTGCTGAATTCCACACTTCTATGATACAGAGATGCAGCGGTTTGTTCCACTGTCGCCCTCCGGATGAGGCTGGCAGTATCGTGAACGAAGCGACCAGCAAGTGCTTGACAGCCGTAAGCTTAGCGGGAGAAGTTGTGCGTGGTGCTTGGAGCCAGCAGGCACATGAGTTTGCACCTGTGAAGTCTGGCAGATGTTTGTTCGGCCAGGAGGACATTCGCGATTGCAATGTGCGTAGACGTGCCAACTGGCTCCTGGCTGTCATCTTCGTAGTTTCCATTGAGGGACCTCGAACCTGTAACTGCGAACTACTCCTAAACCGAAGAGGTGGATGTTGACGACACGTCGAAGCCTGTCGCTCTTCGTCTTTGCCGCCATCTTGCAGATGGCGCCCCTCACTCGAATCAGACACTTGGATGCGCTGGTGGTCAAGAGGATTTGGGGTTCGTGGCTTACCACTCACTCCGGTTCTTCGAGATATTGAGACTTTCGCAGAGCGTTGGAGTGGTGTGCGGGTAGAGTGGTGGCCGAAGAGTGTGTTCCCACGGGATGTGTTTACATGTGTCAGTTATCCGCATAAGCGGAAAAAAAGATGCTCGGGGGTGTCTTTATTGCGATTTTGTTTTTGGTTGGCGGATTTGTTTTGTTGCGTTGGTTCCTTTCTGCTAATGGTCAACCTAAAGGCACCCACCATTTTCTTTCCTGAAGCCCCAAGCTCTGCCAAACCCTGAACCCTGCCGTTCTGTGAGCCAATGTGCTCTCCGCCCTGTACCAGTAACCTCACCCAGGCATGTCCGAGTGTGAGCGCTGAAACCCTAAAAGGCCCCAAAACCTTAACCCTACAGGGACCCTACTGTACCACTGCTGTACTACAACTAGACTGTACTACTACTGTACTACTGCACTGTTACTGTACTACTACTGTACAAGACCAAGCCTCAGACTTGGTCGATTGGTTCGGGGGAAGTGTAAGTTGGAGGAAAGAGTCTTCAAAATGAAGGCTTTTCGTCTTGGTAGTTATCTTGGAGTCACGGGGGCAAGGTTTCGAGCTTTTAGTGATCCCCAGGCCGCCCGATACGGGCATTCGCGGAGCACCGCAGACCCTACACCCAAAGCCTCTAAGTTCATCAAAGCCACCCACACCCCAAATTAAAGCAGCCGGGCACGAATGGTCGAAGGAGGAGGGGGGCTCTGTTAAACCGGACACCACATTACATACAACCAGCATACTGCATACATAACATGTCTACATACTTACTACATACTTACACATGTAACAAAAGCAAATCGATACAGTCAAGGTGCCGCACATGCTTACAAACATGAAATTGCGTGATAGTTCCTTAAAAGTGCAACTGTGCATGCAGTCAGAACCCTAGACTCCAGACCCCACGCCGGCGCTACGCCCCCCAAACCCTAAACCCAAACAGCCCTCAACCGTGACGAGACGGACTTCTCCGCACTCAGGACCTGGGTGCACACGCCCGAAGGTCTTCTCCAGCAGAGGCGCGACCCTCTTGGGCCCGTAGCGCTCGAGGTTTGGGCATTTGGGGCTACAGGGTTGCAAGCGATGTTCATTCCCGCGCAAAAGATGGGGTCAGAAGGGGCCGCTCTTTAGAAAGGCATAAAAAATCTCGGAAAGTGCGGGGTGGGCAATCCTGAATACGCTACCGCAGCCCGAATTTCTGAAGCACCCAGACGGACCCTTTTTTTCTCAGTGTTGCCCCGGCTCGGGCAATTATTCCCCTTGGAGCTCTCCCGAGGACTAGTCGTGAGCACTTGGGGTTGAGGATCTAGGGTTTCGGCGTCGGTCAATTCCATCCCTAAACCCACGGGTATATATTGGCGTTTCAGTGCGTGAGGCGCAACATTCAACAGAGACCCAGACCCACAGACCATAAAATGGACTTTGCAGCCTCAGCAAGGAGTCGTGAGCTGCATAGATTCTCGGTCTTTTCCGTTAACTGTGTTACTGCTCTTCTTTACGGTCTTCCTCTTAGACTCGCTTTGTTTGTTGTGCTTCTAGCTGGCTCCCTGGTATGGACCCATGGCCGAGGTCGGTTGGAAAGTGCTTGAATGCCAAGCTGCGGCTGCAGAAGTGCGCTTTCTCTGACCAGCAGTGGGAGCCCACTGTACCTGGCACTTAAAATGACTTCGGTTGAGTCCTGTCTGTCTCTGTGTGTGTGTGTGTGCGTGTTTGTTTGAGCTAAAGAAGTTGATGTCTCATCTGTCTCATCTCATGCGTGGTGACAACTTGTGCTGAGTTTAAGGCTTCTTTCGTTCGACTCATGAGCTCCATCATTTGGAAGCCCTTATTGCAAGCCGTCAGCGGCCTCAAGCGTTGTTGTGCCATACGGATATTTGAGGTGTTGGGTAGGTGGTACTTTCACCTAAGGGGTTTAGAGATCTATGGACTCTAAACATGTGCCGCCAAGACGTCTGGACTGAGCTGCGCGAGCAACTTGAATCTAAGAGCAGCGCAGTATATACCGCATAGGGTTTAGGGTTTATGGTATGTAGCATGCGCGACGACAACCCCCGGAACAACGGTGCTCCCGGTCATGAGGTTTTTTTGCAAGTAATCGACCGGGGAGCCGCTGAAGGAGTTACTGGAAACTACACCTCGGAATGTTGCACTTCAGCGTAAACCCCAGTGGGTTTAAGAGTCATTTCAGTCTTGCTGTAAGGCCCCTATAGCATGATATAGCATGGTGGTTTGCCGCAGTATTCTGCATGAAACGTTTTGGGAGTGTGTGGTGGCTACGGGTCTCTCTCGGAAACTTGCCGTCCTGTCCGGTGGTCACGTCAAAGGGCCAGAGACAGACAACACAGTGCTCACCTCAGCGGTTTTTGCACACCCCAGTCGAGCCTAAAACCCCCTCAACCCCTCAACTCTAAGACCCTCCAATCCCAAGTCCCCGAGAGTATATCACCCTCATCGTAACCCTGCTTCTGTACTAAGGCAGACGGCCGCTTGCTTCACAAACTCTCGGGTCGCTGCCTGGACGCCCCTCGGCGCGTAACATAGGGGCCTAAATAATTACCTATACTATTTTGGGGGTTCCTAATTTAAAATTATAGTACAATGGGCCCCAAAACCCTATTCTAATTATTTAAGGCTTCTATATTACTTTGAGCAATGATGCTGGGGCTTGCCAGCACGCCCCAAGTACCCTTTCCTAGAGCCCTTATGGTCCTGAATTGTGGGTATTTAGGGTACATTAGGTAGTTGGGGGGCTTGGGGGCTTAGGACATGTCAGCTTCGGTATCGGTGCTCGCGTGTCGGCCTCAGGGTGTCCTTCTAGAGCGCTTTACATAGTAAGTATGCATGCATGTATGTGTGGGTGTGCCATACACAAATGATTTGAGGCCTTCGAATAAATGAACTGGTGTATAGGCAGGTACGTGTGTATTTGCACATCATGCGGGCATTCAGTCGTGCTGGTGTCGGGGTGGAGGCCGGGCTATCTCTCTTGTCTTGAGCTTCAGGCATGGTAGGTGCAGCCGTTATCGCCCGTAGTCATAAGCCACGTTGCAGCTTGGAGCAATAGCCTGAAAGCCCGGCCAGTCGCGTGAAGTTCAAGTGCACTGCAAAGAGCGCAAGCCCTAAATCGCAGAGTTTGCCATGGCTTCTAAAGTGCTTGTGGAAGTTTTTAGTTGCGTGCTCACAGGGCGGACTACTTCTGTTTTGACTTGTCAGGGGGTAGGCTGCTCAGGCTCGGCAGGTCGACCTTTGGTCACGAGGTGGTGGTTTTGTCATATCGAAGCGAGCGCTACCCTAAGCCACACCCTCAAAGGTCTGAGGACTTCGGACTCATATGGTAACCATTACAGTGCCCGTACCCCTTACGAAGGCCTTCTTTGAATCCCATAGTATTCCTTTTCAAGTTCTACGGTGGATTGAGTCCTCAAGCTAAACACCGATAGCCTCGGTCAGGTTTCTGGAGAGGTAGCGGTGGATGGAGCCACCTTTGTCTTGCTACCTGGCGAAGCAAGGTATAGGGGAAATTAGAATAGGCTTACTACATAAAAGTTGCTGTAAGGTATGAAGGGTTTACTATCGGTGTTGGGGTTTATAGGGTTTTGAGTTGGTTGGAGTACTTGGCCGTTTGATGTTACTTTAAATGGTTATAAAGAGGAAGACAAAGAGAAAAGCCAAACGTGCAACAGCAGCGCTGAGAGCGGCACACAGCCGACGACGAATAGACACGAGTGTCGCCGAAGGAGAGGTAGTTGGTACAGGGCTGGCGCCTACTACGCCTACCACTACTACTAGTACAACTACTACTGCTGCTGCTGCTGCTGCTACTACTACTACTACTACAACTACTAATACTAGTACAACTACTACTGCTGCTGCTGCTGCTGCTACTACTACTACTCCTACTCCTACTCCTACTCCTACTCC